ACGCATCATATCTCTCTCCTCCTCTCTCTCTCTCTCTCTCTCTCCCCCTTTGACTTGCCCTAACCCTAAACCACCGCTCCCTTAAAACAATTCCCACACCCACTTCCCTCCTTCCTCCTCCCTGAAAACCCCCTACCCCCCTCCCTCATCATCACACCACCAGGTTACCAAACAAGTACTCCCCAAGAGAATTGATCCGTCATGGGGCTCTTTTGCACTTCCATTTCAGCAGCTTTTGGTTCCTAGAGAGAGAGAGAGAGAGAGAGATTAGAAAAGCAAAGAAAGGAGAGACAGATCGCTGCCTTCCTTTTCCCTTTAACTCATATTTTTCTTTCTCTCTTCATCAAATTGTCACCCTTCTCGATCTTTGGTTCATAAATATCTCCTCTTAGCTTCGTCTGCACTGTTCCATTTCCTGAGGCTGCACGCTAGTTTGTGTTCTGTTTACGCAGAAGAGAAGAAGAAGAAGGAAGGAATAGGATTTAAGGAATTCATGGATCGAATTACAGCCTCCACACATGGCCATCTCCCTCCTCTTTTCCACAGCCCGGACTTCCACTCCCTCCACCACTACCAACACCTTCAGCAACAGCAGCACCCGATGCCGCCTAAGATCGAAGAAGAGCACAACGGCAGCACCGGTATTCATGGCAGCAGGAAGCGCGACCACGACGACAGTAACGATGATGGGAACAACAATTCCAACGGCGGCGAGTCCAAGGAGCTGGTGCCGACGACGTCCGCTGGAGGAGGGGACGGGGAGATCATGCGCCGGCCGCGCGGCCGCCCCGCCGGGTCCAAGAACAAGCCGAAGCCACCAATCATCATCACCAGGGAAAGCGCCAACGTGCTGAGGTCCCACGTGATGGAGATCGCTGGTGGGTGCGATATCGTTGAGAGTATCGCCACCTTCGCCTGCCGCAGGCACCGCGGCGTCTGTATCCTTAGCGGGAGTGGCACCGTCGTCAACGTCACCCTGCGCCAGCCGGCCTCCCCCAGTGCAGTCGTCACTCTCCACGGACGGTTCGAGATCCTCTCCCTCTCCGGATCCTTCCTTCCGCCGCCCGCCCCACCCGCGGCCACCGGCCTGACAATCTACTTGGCCGGCGGGCAGGGCCAGATCGTGGGTGGGAGCGTCGTAGGGGCACTAATAGCATCAAGCCCGGTGATTATAATGGCAGCATCCTTCGGAAACGCAGCCTACGAGAGGCTGCCACTGGACGAGGAGGAGCCTCTACAAGCTCAGCAAGGCGGTCTTGGGTCGCCCGGACTGGTAGGGCAGTCGCCCCCACCGCAGCAGCAGTTACTTGACCCCAACAATCCACTTCTCCATGGCCTGCCGCCGAACCTGCTAAACAATGTACAATTGCCTGCCGAGGCTTACGGCTGGGCCACCGGCGGAGGAGGACGCACGCCCTACTGATCCCAGCGATAACGCACTAGTTAGTTTTGCTTCTTCCCCACCATCCGAGGGAAAGCCTGCAGGATCAGCTAATCCTGAGGCCGTCTTTAGTAACACCATGGAGGATCCAGGCTTTCTTCATGCTTTCTTCTTTCTCAAGTTCAACTCCTGTTGTTTGCTTTCTTTGTTTTTGTTACTTTAGTTTCGCATAAGATGACTCGTCTCTCTTCTGATTCGTAGCAGCGTTGTACAAAACTATGATTTCTTGGAGTCTCGACTTCGGTGGTAGAAAGAGCTTACGGGTATAAGCCATGGACGATGATGAGAATGGAGTACATGCTTTTGCATATTTGCCGCTGACTGTTAATTGGATTCCACCATTGCCTCCTTATTCCGCTCAAGGAGGAAAGAGAGGAGGAAATCTGAAGTCTAATTGTGCTTGCACTCTTTCTCCCATTTGAAGTCTTGTATTGTACACCAATATCAGCTTCTGCTTAGAGCTGCTAATATAACAGTGCTTTCTTTTGGAGAGAGATTAGTATCTTCGAGTCTGCAGAACTATCAGTAATCTTACAACTTTCTTCGTTGCCTTGTGCTGTTGTTTGAAGTTAGAAGAGTAGTAGGTGGACTGTCCGACACGTGCATTGTTCTGAAATAGCTCTTGCCGAGGCAAATAGCTTCATGAAGAGGCGACAAACATGGACAAAGCGCAGGCGTTAAACTCCTTGAGCTGCTCATAGCTCAGCAGCACCTGCAGGGAGAAGGAGGAGGAGGAGGAGGAGGAGAGAGAAACTTATTGTTAATCTAATAGTTCCACTGCCATTCTCCCCAACACGAAGCCTCGATCAATGTGAATTTGGTGAACGGAAGGAAGGAAGCCATGTGTTGATGTCTGTGATAAACTGTATGTTGCCAATGGTGGGGATGAGTTCAAGTGTTTTTTCAACCCTTTTGATTTTTCTCATACAACAAATAAATACATGCATGTCGAGATTCACTATGAGGTTTGTCTTTTCTCTTTGTGACGTTTTAGTGGCAGATATTGTCAAAATTATCAATATTTTTATATTTTAAAAGTCATAAAGTATTGCTTCTAATTTTTTTATCATCATATGATCGATCTTTTTTGTGGTCTTAACAAAATTTGCAATATCATGACGTATCTTTTATTATCGAATAATTACATGAAACAATAAAAGAAGAGTTGATCCGAATTGGATCTTTGGGCCAAGCCGGAATCAGAAAACGGTCGGGCCAGCTTTAAATAAAACCGGCCCGTTACATCATAATGGACGGCCCAGATTACACCTGAAGCAGAAAACCACGATATATATATTTTTTCTGTTCGTGCATAAATAACAAGAGACGAAGCTGAAGCGAGAACAAAGCGCCTCTTCCTTTTCCGTGCTCCGGATCTCGATTGGCGAAACGACCACGAAGCCGCGGTGATGGCGGCGGCGACCACCCCCGACCTTCTCTTCGGCCTCCGCAACAGTTTCTACTTGGGTGCCTATCAGGCCGCCATCAACAGCAGCGACATCCCCAACCTCCCCGCCGACGACGCCCTCGAGCGCGATGTCCTCGTCCACCGCTCCTACATCGCCCTTGGCTCCTACCAGGTTACCCTCTTCTTATCCTCCTCCTCCGCCACTGGATCTCTTCTTCTTGATCCAAAGATCTCGATCTCTGATTGGGTCTCCGGTTTGCCTTCAGCTCGTCGTCAGTGAGATCGATTCGTCGGCTCCTACTGCCCTCCAGGCCGTCAAATTGCTCGCCCTATACCTCTCCGGCGACAAGGTTTAATACTTTTTTCTCCACTCTCTTTGTGCTTTTCAGATCTTGCGTGGAATTAGGTTAGGTTCGGATAAGTTGATGTTTCTTTAGATCTGGATTCTGGAGCCTTTGGTGCAAGTGTTTAGATCTCGTTGATACCATTCAAATCCGTGTTGGATTGTTTTGTAATTAACCTTTCAGAAATGTAGTATTAATTGTAAAGAAAAGTTATCATCTACCGTTCTGTTGCCAGGCTTTGCACAATATACCTCTGGAATATCTAAAAAGTTTTCCCAGTTTGTATGCAACAAATTGTAACCTATCCTTTTGTCTTACTAATCATAGAAAATGTATGAACACTTAAACAAAATAATTGAAGCCAACAACAAAATTATCAGATTTTAGTTGATAAAACACAATTTTGATGGGTGAATTCCAATTTACCTTATAGCACTCCAATGCTCAAAGTAAAATGGCAAGGTCTGTTGTTGCAGATATGAATTTAGTCTCTTTGCCCTTTTATGTATGTATTACCCAGAAATGGTGCCAGGAGTACTTTGTGGGATGTTGAACTTTGCAAGCATCTGGTGTCACTAGAGATTTAGTTCACTTAGAAGATGTTAAATAGTTAGGTTCCTCAGGTTTTTATGTCTTCAAAAGTTAGATGGGCAGCATACTTGTTAGTAATTAAGAGAACACTTTCATATCCCATAGGATGGGATGAGTAACTGACTGGTGCTTTTATCTTGTTGTTATGAGAATGTGAACAACTCAATGCATATGAAGAAAGAAAACAGAGGTGCCAAATTTAACAAGTTTATCTTTAAGTGATTGATCTCTCCTGCAATCTCATATCAATTCTCTCAGGCTGGCAAGTATTTGTTGCCGATTAAATTGCCAAAATTTGGGGAAAATTTGGTTGTCTAGTTAATCTATGAATTCTATTTATTACTCAATGTTTAGGAGCTATAAAAGTTTAGTTATGTGTGTGTGTGTGTGTGTGTCTGTCTATATATATATATATGTATATACATATATATATACACATATAATTTTCAAGACAATCCCAGTAACATGCATCAAACTAGATGCATTCACATTCAGCTCATGATCATGGCATCAGATAATCGCTTTATCATTTCTTGTATTTTTTTCTTCCTGGCATCTGAAGTCTTTTGTTGCATTTCCTTACATGTAGATAACTTGATGTTCACTGATTATTTATTTTGGTACTTGAGAGTCGTTTCTTATGATTATCCTCCTTGAAGATTTGTGTCACTTATAAGCTTTAAAACACTGTGATGCTTTACTTTTAGTGAGAGGAAAATTTTCTTTTTGCTCATCAAAAAATTCTTGATGGAAGCAAGCGAAATTCTTGAGTTTCATTTGTTGCTATTTCTCACTATTAAATATACCTTTAATTTTTTTAGTTGATGACAATTTATATTTGAATAGACTTAGTAAAATGGCTAGTTAGGCAGGACTTTTTTTGTTATTTGCCATTTATTACATCGTAGATGTATTGTATTTTGGGGTGTTAAGGACTTCTAACAATAGGCTGAAGTCTTGTATACCTCTTAATAATAGTTTTACCAATTATGTACTTATAGGATTTTCTCTTATACATTTTTTGGTGACCAAGGAATCTGCTATTTCAAGTCTCCAAGAGTGGTTAAGTGATGCTGCAATAAGCAACAATCCCGTTCTTCGACTGATTGCTGGGATCATATACATGCATGAACAAGACTACAATGAGGCACTTAAGCATACTAATTCTGGGGGAACTATGGAACTGTAAGTGTCAAATTTCTTTCTCATCTGAAATAGAGGCGTTGTTAGCTTGTATATTTGATTCATAAAACTCTTTTTCTGTTACTACTTGTGGTTTATGATCTTTTTAAAGGAACATTAACTTTACTTTTTTCATGCTAAGATCATGAAGGATGCGAATGTACCATTGATAATGCTTGTATTTTATGTTTATCTATTTTCCTTGGTGATCAAATCTTGGCTGTAAATTTAACTAGCTGGACAATGATATATTTGAAATCATGAGAAATGATTTTAAAGCACATTAATGAGAACTTACAAAATCATTTATCATTTTGAGTCTATATTTATTATTTTTATAAAGTTCGACTGTTATTTAGTATTGCTATGTAGATCATTTTTCAGTTCACTTATCTCTTTCAGTTAAAATCTAACCAGGCCTGTGTTTGGTTTTGGGCATTTTGTGACCTTACACATACATGCTCGATAGAGTGTTTTCTACAATTTGACTTACACTCGAATGTTGTGCAGAATATTGAACTTTAGAACTCACTGTAGACTCCATTCAATTTAGGTTTAAATGATAACAGGAGATTAGGTTGCTTTTGTGGCATCAGAGGAGAATCATATAAAATCATCTTCATTTATTTAAAATCAACATTGACAGCATCTGCCTAATCAATGGCGAGGTGCTAGAAAGTAAAGTTAGCAATGCAATAAAAGAAATTCTTGATTGTTGTTAACGCTGTGAATAACTTGCTGTGCACCTTTGGTGTCAACTGCTTTTTGCAGGCATGCTTTGAATGTTCAGATATTCATTAAGATGCACAGATCAGACTATGCTGAGAAACAGCTTAAGATCATGCAACAGATTGATGAGGACCACACACTTACGCAACTTGCAAATGCATGGTTGGATCTGGCAGTGGTAAACCTTGTTTCTAACTGCATTATTGCAGAAAAAACAGAGTTGTTTAGCTTTATTTATCATTATTCTGTTGTGATTCAGGGCGGTTCCAAGATACAGGAAGCATATCTTATTTTCCAAGACTTCTCTGAAAAGTATCAGATGACTGGAATGATTTTGAATGGCAAGGCCGTCTGTTGTATGCACATGGGTCGCTTTGATGAGGCTGAGTCCTTGTTGCTTGAAGCACTGAACAAAGTAAGATAAAAGAAGTTATTGAATTTGTTTCATTTAATCCATTACTTTTTTTTCTTAATAATTAGTAAAAGAGAACAGCATGGGGTTTCATTGCATTTGCTAGAAAAACAAAATAAAATATGGAATTCTGGTTTCAGGATGCAAAGGATGCAGAAACTCTGGCCAACCTTGCTGTGTGCAGTCTTCACCTAGGCAAACCATCATCACGATATCTCAAGTAAGTAACTGGTAGTCTTTTCAGATTAACGAATCCTAGGTGACATCTCAAAGCAACTCTCTTGAATGACATTTTGAATGGACAGTCTTTGCCTAGCGGTTTAGTTAACTGGAACATGCATTTTGATAATACTTTCTCTTGGTCACTCTCTTTCTCTTTGTTAGAGAATTATTACTTATGTCGTGAAGTGACATATATTCAAAACATTGTTTGCATAAATTTTTAACCACAATCTTAAATGATCAAATTGAATTAAAGCTTGCAAGTTTTGAATAAAAAAGCATACCTTATGGCATGATGTTAATTGTACTGTAATAATCTCTTGCCTGTTGCTAACAATATTATAGTCTTAGTATACTTGCATTTTTGACTTTCTTATGTTAATCGTTACTCTAGGATGAGGCAACTTTTTCCTTGATGTTTCTGACATGCCAAACCCTCTACAGCAGAGTTAACGGAAAAGTTTGTTGATTCGAATTTTTAGAAAATTATAGTGTGGGATCTGGATTTCTGAAGGAAGCCAAATTCATAGGATGGTCATGCTGAAAGTTATATAAAAGAACTATTTCTAGTTTTCTACTTTGTCCTTCCAACAGTCCAACTTATAGCTTTTGACACTTTGACTTGTTATTTAAAAATAAAAAATAAAAAAAAACAACTTAGTAACTTTTTGTTCATATAACAGAATTTATACTGATTTCAAATTGTAATTTATTGGTCTTGCTCATCAAAAAGCCCAAAAGATCATGAAAAATTGTTATAAAGCATTGAAAAAGGACAATATTCATGTGTTAAAGAGAGAATCCGGCTGACTATGAAGTAAATACTGGTTAACCAATGCCATCTCAATAATTCAAACTTCTCGTCTGTAGTCTCTGACTCTAGGAATAATCTCACAAATTCAACTTGGACATCATTTTTCTGACAATCGATCATGCTGTAATAAGCATAGTCTTTGTTCCTGAAATGTCTTAACTAGGCTATTGAAGTTGTTAACCCCTCCGGCTAATCTTCCATGAAGCATTCAAGAAAAACAAAAAAAGGGTTAAAATGAAGTGAGGAGCACTGGAGATGCCTTGAATTCATCTAATGATACCAACACCTGGTACAAGTGTTTTTATTTTTCCAATGAAACTTGTTCTCTGACGAAGGATGACGGAATCTTTGATGGTTTTGATGCATTTGGGCACCTATCATCGGTGTGTGTGCATCAAAAACTTCAAATAGCCAACTAGGTTTTGATGAAAATTGCTAAATCTACTCGCTAAATATTTGGAAGTCATATGGTGTCTTGTTATATTTTTCTTAGAGCAAATTTCCGAGCATTCGTGATATCTGGATGTCATGCAAGTTCTAATTACTTCTTATTTTATTGTCCCTCGCTTCTGCAGTCAGTTGAAGTTGTCACATCCAGACCATGTTCTCGTTGCTCGTATGGCATCCGCTGAAGATAATTTTGATAGAGCTCTTCAATCCATTGCATGAGGTCTCAGATGGAGGTTTGCGAGGAGTAACAGTAGTATCTGCTTTATTGTCGTCGAGCATTCATTATCTTGTTTTGTGATTGTATTGTTAGGGTTCACAAGAGTATCCAGTAATATCTTTATCATGTAGAACCATGTATTTTGGAATATGCATTGTCATGCCTTCTTAGACTTGACGTTCATAAATAGTTGCATGTTCTTCATGCAGGACAATATACCTAAGCATTTGCATGTCGCTTCGGACAATAATTTATCTGATACGAAGGTGATAACTTGGCTCCATTTTTTTTTTCATTTATGCTTTAAAAAAAATTAAATAATTTTTTCATCAAATTTCAAATGAATAGTGACTATTTTTTTAATTTTAATTTTTATAAAATATTTTCTCTGCATCACGTGGCATCGCACCTGTATGATAGATCTGTAATAAAGATCCCTATCTCAATCCTCTGGTATCAGGTTGAGCTTTAGTTCTTATCATAAACTCGAATTGAATATCGAAAAAGATCTAACATGATGATGAGTCTTAACCCTCTGACTCGTGCTCGAGTCAGGTTTGAACTCGGTGAGAATTCCATGAAGGAATAATGCCACTTCGACTTGAATCGCTAGAGTTCGAGTCAGGAAATCGGGGAGGGTTTAATTGCGACCGACATGGTAATGCACGGCTCCTAAGCAAAGATCTGGAAAATCTAACGACGGGGAATCACTTGGAAGACCGGACTCGAAGAGAGATACTAGACAGCCACTACAAACCGGCTGTCTTCTCCTGTTTGTTCCAACCATCTCTCGCTCCCTCATTCTTGAAGTCGCCTTCACGTCTGCAATGTGGCCTCCAGCCGAAGCTGGTTGGCAAACAAATAGCAGCCAATCGATCTACACGTTGAGAAGCTGGCTTTCTGTAGAGAGCCGATCGATCCCCATCTTTGAAGTTGGGGACAGCGATCGTCCGGTTGTAATGGGCCCACGATGACCGAGGCCATGGAGAGTCATCATGTGTGTTCAGAGATCTGGGCCGGGAGATCTCTCAGAACAAAGAACTCGCTTCTAAGACAAGACTCGGCATCAACACTCGGTACCGTGTTGCCATGGCCCTCGAATCCAGCGCTGCCATCCAACAATCCAGCATCACTACTGTTCCCGACGTCGACTTCAGAACAACTTCAGTTTCATCTTCATCATCGTGGGTCCGAGCCACGAAACTCTCGTGACAAGGGGTTGAAGACGATGCCAGAGTGAGACTGTAGGCTAACGCAGGCCGATTTATCACTCGTCCTGCACGTAATACGAATGTCTCTGAACCTCGGAACAATGATGGATAACACTCGAGTCCGAGCATTAATAGCGTCGTGTTATTTGAGTTACCAGTCTTTCACTTCATGGGTCCTCCTGTACCTGCAAAAAAAAAAAAAATGGACCCATCGCGAAGGAATCCAACAAGTACTGATGCTAACAAGACGGACGGTCCCCTTTTCATCGGCATGCAAAGCCAACGAAAAGAAGTTCATTTTGCTGATGGAATCGAACTTTGGCGATCGGAGAGAAGAAAGGGAACAGTCAAAATTCCACAACAGGAACCTCCTTCGATGACAAGGATACAGTGAGCAGACGTTCCAGATTGTACAGTACGAACGACTGTAGTAGTTCTATTTCTTCAGTTAGCTCTGAGATATTCGCTGCCTCGTTTGTGTCATTTTAGACCACAGTATCTGAACCCATTGTTGCCCGTCTTAAATACATCTGATCTCCTTTATGATTCCGTCCATGTCCCACGTATTCTATCACAACTATTACTGTACAATTGTCACCATGACGATCGATAGCAGGTTGCCATCACAAAACATGTCACTCGGTCTCCTCCATCTCACTTCTCACCTTCTTTTCCTTGAAGAATTAGTAAACATAAAATGGAGTTTCATCAAAAACTGTCGCCTTTAGGACAATCACATTCCTGATGTTAGTTCGACAAATAATGTCCATGACTGTAGATAAGATTAGCATTCTGTGACGGATGTGTTGATGAGAAGCAAATTGGTATACATTGTGATGGGATATGTTGTCAAAGTATCTATCTACTTGGTGGCTTGAATTATGGAGTCAAGTTCTCGTAAAATGGTCAAGTGAAGTGGAGACAACATTGCAAACATTTCCAATCAGCAACGAAAGAGGGTTAAGAACTCGAACTGGTTTTCTATAATCACTTCGCTTTTTGATTATGATATGAATAGCTTGGAGAGAAAAAAGCAAGTGGTGACAGCAACTACACCTGCAGTGGTTTGCTCCAAAGGCAAGCAGCAAGAAGAAGACCCAGACAAGATGGCCATTTGAATGAGATGGGGATTGGCCTCCATGTCTCCTCGTATCTGCATGGAACCCGTAGAAAAGAGAGACAGAGAGAGGCATTGATTTGCTCACCTCCGTCCCACCTCTCTCTCTCTCTCTCTCCAAATTGGCGGGGAAATTTCCCTTCCTTTTCCCGCCAGTCATCTAAAATTGTGTGTTTGGACCGAGATCTAGTTTAGATTCTTCTGCCGACAGCTTCAACTCCCATCCTTCGTCCCTGTCAGCGTATGACATGCCGACTTGTAGTACTGGAAGACAACAACGCTTCATGTACGAGTACAGAATGATGGGTGAAGAAGAAGAAGAAGAAGATTGATGTGCTGGGCGGAAAGTGGCACATCATATAGCTGTTATTTGTCGATTTGGTTTAGATCAAAGGAAAAGAATATTTGATCAGGTATCAGTCACGAAGAACATATATATATATATATATATATATATATATATATA